CTAAAGGGCCGACAATCATGCCTCTTTGCTTTCATCGGCCATTTCTTTCAGAAAAAGAAATCATCGTTCGAACGTTAAGAAAGATACTTCTTCTTCGAGTATAAGGAATAAAACTTATGAGAAACATTTGATCCCCTAAGAACGAAGATATATTTTATCTCATTCATGTTTCAAATATAATCATTTGAAATCCGTAAAAACAAGATTTCTTTTAATTACAACCGATGAATCATCGACTTTCTTCATTGATCTTTCTTCATTCTTTTTTCTTTCTTTTTTTTTTTTTTCTTTTTTTCTTCAAATTAATATCAATAATTAAATCTGATATTAGACAATTGAAATTTGAACGATGATAGAAATTTGAAATATAAAATTAAACTCAATGAATTTCAATGAAAATTTAATAAATAAATAAATATATGTATATATTTAGTTGTCGTTTTTGAATGACTCTCTCTCTCTCTCTTTCTCTTTCCCTCTTGCTTCTCCCATCTCTTTATCCTTCTCTCTCTCTCTCTTTCTCTCTCTCTTTCTTTATGAAACATAGGAAAGAAGAAACCTACGAAGAATGATAGACAATGTTTGTCAAGGGCGTGCCATTCGACAATTAGGGAGCGCCCAAGTAAACACTCGTTGTCAGTGTCGGCCTTCGACATAGTACGCCATCTTCTTAAAACCAAGAGGGCTAATCGTGTCCTCACACACACATATATATATATATATATACATATCGAACTCAACCACCCCGTCAACTTTGAGGTACTCGTAATCTTCCTTCCTTCCTTCCTTCTTTCATTCTTTCTTTCTTTCTTTTCTCCTGCCAATCTCTTGCCAATACTTGCTTTTTATATCTTTTTCCTTTTTCTCACGTTAAAATCTTTGTTCTATCTCATAGAATCGTATTTTTATTATTTTTCTTCTTTTCTTCTTCTTCTTCTTCTTCTTCTTCTTCTTCTTTCTCTTCGAAAACAACCCTTTGAGCATATCTAATTGCCAACGATATTATAACAAACCGACACAATTTCTCATTGTCGATGTTGAACGATGAATGATAATAAAATATTCATACGAATTCCAAAATAATTGCTTTTCAAAAAAAAAAAAAAAAAAAAAAAAAAGTACTTTATGAAATGTGAAATCCTTTAATAATTGTTAACCTCGATATCGTGCTACTATTTTCGAAAAATTCCAACCCGAGAAAATCACGAAAGCTCCATCGAAAGCTTCTCGTTACAATGCTTCTTTTCAAGAGAGAGAAAAAGAGAGAGAGAGAGAGAGAGAGAGAGAGAGAGAATACGACTTCTTTGAAGGATTTCCGCACTATCATGAAAAGTGAGCTGCCTCTTATTTCTCATGAAAAAGAGAAAGAAGGAGAGAAAGAGAGAGAGAGAGAAAGAGAGAGAGAGAGAATTCTTCTAGAACACTCAACCAATAGCATATACGAAGACAAAGACTTAGTAATCACGCTAGGTAAAACTTATGCAAAATAATAATAATAAAAGTTCTCGGAAGAAAGTTGGGAAAGAATTTAAAATGTAACCATTGTATATACCCGCAATTTTGTCCTAGCCGTTCGTCACGTGTAATATAGATGTAAGGTATGTTTTCCTCCTTTCTTTTTCTTTTATCCCTCTTCCTTTTATTTCTCTTTCTTCTCTTTCTCTCTCATTTATTCCGCAAGTACGCCATCATCCTAGCTTTTTTCCTATTGCACTTTTTTTTAACCGCAACCGAATTTATTCATAGCCTTTGATAACGGCTATGTTGCTGCGTTTCTTTTTTCATTCATTTTCTTACAAGAATTCGTCCAATTTTTCTTCACTCCTTTATTTCTATATATATATACGTATATATTAGATGGACCGAAAAATATTGACGCTTTCTTAAATTAAATTCAAACGTATAAATTTTTTACAATTTTTAACAATTTTTAACAATCAAATATCGACATGCGCAGAAACAACATTACGTCCACCTAATAATATATATATATATATATATATATATATATATATATGTGTGTGTGTATGTAATTATATTAAAATAATAATAAAAAAAGAAAAAGTATCATAATTCAACAATTAAAAAGAATCCCTATTTCGGGTAACGTTATATAAACCATTCGAATTGGCGTGCCTCTCCCATCCCATGTTCGATGACATTTACGACGTAATAAAAGATGAAAGCTTCGCACGGAATACGAAAATTTTCAACCTTAAATAGATTTTACGTGTTCTCCTACGAATACGTATCTACATAAATTCAAATATTAAGACATATAAATATATATATATATATTTTTTTTTTTCATGTAGAAAAAAAAAACAGAAAACAAAAAATGCGTTGATTCGAGGATTACAACGACTACGTTAAAAGAATCTGAACTGAAAATCTTGCCAAAAGGGAGGAAAAAAAAAAAGAAACAAAAATAAAAAAACTGCTACTCATCATTCTTAAGATTATCTTCATCTAACAGCCCTTCTATATCATTCCTACTTTGGAGAATAGTAAACTCGACTGACACTTTACGACGTAATAAAAGTAGAAGCTTTGTCAGCTACCGTTTATACAAACACTGATACATAGAAACGTATATATATATATATATATATATACTTATCTTCCAATATAAATATATAAAAAAAGCTTTTCGAATCTCTCTTACTAACGTCTGTCTACGTTCCTTTTTCTTTTCTCGATTTCGCATCGAATATATTTTAATGTGTAAAAAAGAAAAATAAAAAAAAAGAAAAAAAAAAAATATAAAAAGAAAAAAAAAAGAACGAAAAAATTGTCGGTCGTTTATAAAAATATAAACGATATTGATAATGAAATTCGCTACGATGAAAGTTGACGAATTTGCTAATTAAAATGTAACGAATGTCCGACGTTTTCAGTATTATCGATAATAAATTATATATACCGTTTGGATTTACACGTACCTATCGTAATAACATTTCAGTTAGATCCTGTTATATAGAGAAGCGTGAAGCTAGCAATATACAAATATAGAATAATTAATTAATTTCGTACAAACGTATCATGGTAATTAATAGGATCCCCGACAGTATTTCCAATGTCGTCTAACAAATGTAGTCTAACTATATATCCATAATACGTGGTACGTATTTATACATACGAATCATCAAACTGATAAAGTTGATATGGAGAAATATTTTTTTTATCTTGCCGATGTTCCTATCAAATGAAATTGATTATCGGAACGAACGATAAGTATTATTCTTTATCGTAGGATTTCCTATGTGTTTTGCGGTTCAATGAATTCGAGGGAAAACTACAAAGTGAGAAAGAGAGAGAAAGCGAGAGAGAGAGAGAGAGAGAGAGAGAGAGAGAGAGAGAGAGAGAGAGAGAGAGAGAGAGAGAGAGAGATAGAGAGAGAGAGGAAAAAAAAACAAGAAGAAGAGAGACAAAGAGAGAAAGAGGAAGTAGTAGTGGTAAAGGAAATAATAAAATGAACGGAGCTTCTCAATTTATTCGCGAGTTTCACAAATTGGATCGACGTTGTAACGTCGTTATCGTCCACTTGCGATTACCCCTTTCGTTACATCGAAAGCTGTTTGTTCGGTACTTGCATTTAAACGAATCAAAAGCATTTAACCATCCTTCTCTTTCTTTCTCTCTCTCTCTTTCTCTCTCTCTCTCTCTCTTTCTCGGCCCTCCCCCACTTCCTTCTCCTTCCCTCCTTCACCTTCAACCATTCCCTTTTCTTCAAACTTTTTCCATTTTTACTGTTTCCTTCGTGACCAACTCAGAGAGTTGAAATAATTCTTCCAAATGATAATTACGGTTCGTAATCTCTAATCCGATTTAATTTAAGTATTGTAAATCTAAATTAAATCGTTCTTCCATGTACAAGAAGAAAATTTTATTCGAGCTCTTCATTTCTTTTTTCTTCTTCTTCTTTTTTTTCTTCTTTTCTTTGTTTCTTTCTTTCTCTCTTTCTTTCTTTCTTTCTTTCTTTCTTCATTTTCATTTCTTTCTTTTCCTCACAAGGGAATATAATCAAAGCATCATACTTTTTCTTCTTCAAACGAAATCCTTCGTATGGATTATTCATATTCCATGCTTAAAAGTAATCGTTTGTCATGAGTTAGTTTGTCATGAGTTAGTGAGTAAAAAGAAGGGAGAAGAAACAAAAAAAAAAAAAAAATGGAAAAAAAATCATTGAATTAATATTAAGTACGTATTTTCGTAAAAGTTTCAACGTCATGTAACTCCCTGTAATACTATTAACTATTACTATTAACGAACTTGTTTAAAATGCATGCTTTTCATCAAATATATGAATTAATTTAACAATTTTATCTGAGATCTTTTGAATAAACCAAAGAATCAAAGAGTATACGAAAATATAATGTTAATCCTCTGACATGTTTTTTTACGAACAATTATTTACGCGAGTACGTTATTATTCATTTATTTTTCTTTTTCTTTTTTCTTCTTTTTTTTCTTTTTTTTTTTGTTCAAAAAAAAAAAAAATATATATATATATACACTATCCGATATATTTCCTAATTTTGATTTGTTGTTCTCGAGAAATCGATTAGGGATTAAAAAGAGAAAAAAAATAATAATAATAAGAAGAAGAAGAAAAAACAAAAAAAAAAAAAAAAGAACGATAGCGTACAACCTATTTCGATCCTTTTAAAACGCTTTAAAGAAAAAAATTGAAAAGAAAGGATATTATACCTTAACTTTTTTATCGGCATCGGGTCTCTCGAGGAGGTTCGTAGTCTGTTGGGTGGTATCTAGGGGTGGCAACGGGGGTGCTTCTGGATCGAAGTTGACGTGTTGTTGGCCGGCACCCCTAAGGAAGCCTCCTCCCGCGCCGGATATTTGACCCCTTGACGTGTTCGTCGCCATTCTTAGATAGAACGTCGTACCAGTGACTGTTCCATCGGCACCTTCCTCGTCGAAATCGTTTTCACCAGGGGTCCTTCCGCCCCTGGCGATATGCTCCTCATCTTCGTACGCGCTTTCTACGACAGAAAAAAAAACAAAAAAAAAAATACAAAACTAAATAAATAAAGAAGAAAAATAAAGATGATAGATAAAAGGATACATCTATTGTTCTTCGTAACTTAAATTCTTCTCTTTTTAAGAACTTATCGTTTATCGTGTTGATAAATAAAGTAAAAAGTTTTATGAGAGATAATAAATAAATCCTTCTCACTTATTATTCTATCGAAAAGATCTATTCATTTGCATCAATTTTTTTTTTTTTTTTTTTTTTTTTTTTTTATGAAAAAAGAAAACTATCCAACAAAATTATTTTATATATATATATATATAAATAATACAGTGACAAAGATTTTAACATGAAATATACCTTATTATATTTCAAAGAAATAATATTTAAATGCGAAGTTCATTTCATAGAATCAATAAATGTATATTTATGTATATTTCGCGATTTCTGTCGCATATAGATCGATGATATATACTTCCTTTCGAGAAAATACTATTTTTCCCTTTTTTTCCCTCCACCAGAAAAAAGGAAATAAGAGAGAAGTAAAAGGATAAAAATCTTGTTCTCCTTTTATCGGCTCGTCGATACATATCACCATGCTTATATACCTACGTATGTATGTATGTATGTATGTATGTATGTATGTATGTATGTATGTATGTATGTATGTATGTATATGTATATATATATGTATATATATATGTATATATGTAAGTGCCTATCTGTGTATATGCAAATAAAGATTAGATGCAAGAGAAGTATATCATAGAAAACAGGAAAAATAGGGGGTGGGTGGTTCGATTTCTCGGTGAAATGGAACGACCCCACCCCCCACGTATGTAATCCAAACGTGGATGATGGATCGAATGATACACTTTTCTTTATTGGTTTTACACAAACAGGCTACAATAAAAACGCTCACGAGGATGGTTTCGATTTTTCCTCTTTTTTTTTTTCTTCTAATTTTTTTTTTTTCTTCTTTCTTCCCTTTTGTTTTACGTTACTTAGCCGTAATAAGTTTATTTCGCCGCTTTTCGAGCTTCTTACATGAGATTCGAGATTTTCGATAAACTTTGGAACAAGACCACGATTCGATTTGACAAACATACAAACAAATTCATTTCGATTTAATCGTAATCCTCGTTCCACGTTCTTCTTACTTTCTCTCTCTCTCTCTCTCTCTCTCTCTCTCTCTCTCTTTCTCTCTCTTCTTTCCTCTTCAATTGACTCCCGAAATCGTAATGTAGTAAAAATTCTTATATCTACGTAAACACGTAAAAATAATCGGTAATGGAACGATATGTGTATTGAAAGTGTCTGTTAGTGACATTTCACAAAGTTTCCCCCATTGTTCATGATCGTGTGCTACGATAATTCATTCCTATGAGTTATGCATCCGAAGATGCACCAGACAGGTTGAAAATTATCGTTCAACTTATAACAACGTGAATCCGATATTTTATATTACAACGATACTACAATGACATTTTTTTTAGTTTTGTTCAATCCTTTTCCTTTTTTTTTTTTTTTTTTTTTTTGGATACAATTTATCTCGAATATATTAAAACGTGTGACAAAATCTATTTCTTATAAATATTTCATTGAAAAGAAAAACTATTTCTTTATATATATTTATTGAAAAGTGTACGTAAGATATATTTTTTTCGTTTGTATTTTTATTATTACTTTATAATATCGTGAAACAATATAAACGTTACGTTACTCGTTAAACGAAATCCATAGAAAAAGACTTTTAGAAAAGAAAAAGAAAAAGAAAAAAAAAAAAAAAAAAAAAGAAAAGAGAAGGAAAAAAAATACTAGTTCGATGGAGAAAGCCAAAGTTTTTTTTTCGTTAGCGATGATAATAAAATGCAACAAGATCCCTGTCTACTTGGCTATTTTCTTCGTACTTGAATATCCTTCGTTTTGTCTCGCTCCTTTACCATCTATAGCTCGATTTCTAAGATCCACGGATTCACCTTCTTACTCTTTTGTCTTTTAAAAATATCGAGATAAAATTTTACTCTTTCTCTCTCTCTCTCTCTCTCTCTCTCTCTCTCTCTCTCTCTCTTTCTTTTCTCGATATCCTCGAGATTTCCTTTTCCTTAAGAAAGAATCTTCTATTTAAAAGAAAGCTTCTTCGTCACGTAACACGAGTTTCAATTCTCGTTAGTTTAGACCGGTAAAAGATATTTTCTTAGAAATGTCAGACACTGAGAGAGGAAAGAAGAAAAGAAAAAAAAAATAATAATAATATTAGTAGTAGTAGTAGTAATAATGATTAAAAAAAAAATTAAAAAACATACAAAAAAAAAAAAATTAAAAGAAAAATGAGGCAAAAAAAACGAGAAAGAACACAAAACAAAAAAGAGCATTCGAGATCAACGTGACCGTCGGCATTAGTAGCTGGAGCTAAAATGAAATTTCATTCGACGAATGCGTGTGAACTTTCACGTAGAATACGACAATCGTATTCAAAACTTCATTCATATAAAACCACGAAGATAGATTCAAGTGGAATAAAAATTTAATAACGTTCTCAGACGAACCATTAAAGAGAAAAGAGAAAAGAGAGAAAAAGAGAGAGAGAGAGAGAGAGAGAGAGAGAAAGAAAGTAAGAGATATAGCACAAATATATCACACATAAAAATGATACAGAAATGAAACAGAAATGAAACGTTCTTCTCCTATTCTGAATGACTTTTATTTCAGGCATTATGAGAAACCGACCGAAGCTTGTCTGGTCAACATAAACCATCATTTTCCTATTATCAACTTTCGAATTGTGGCTTTCATCGTTTAAAACTTATTCGTAGAACCTAGAAACCGACAAGGCTGTTAGAATTTCGGATAACACGAGTTTCGAAACAAGTCGTGCCATCTTTCACACTATACATGCTTATTATGCATACATATGCATATTAAACATATATATACATGAATAAATATATATATATATATATATATATATATACATATATACATATATACATCTTCTAATAATTGCGTGAAACTTTACGAGAGGCTTTGCCCAAAGGTTGTTCGTTATAATGATGGTGTCTCGTGTTGAAGACGGAACAATTTAAAGTAGATATAAATTTGAGTTTTAAAATATAATATAATAATAAGAAAAAGAGACTTGATCAAAGAAAAGTTAAGAGAATATTGCTATCCCTCTCTCTCTCTCTCTCTCTCTCTCTCTCTCTCTCTCTCTCTCTCTCTCTTTCTCTCTTTCTCTTTCTCTTTCTTTCGCGAGTTCTCGCTCTATTTTAAGTTCTTTAACGTAACCCAAGCAAATGAAAAGAATACGACAAGTTTTCTTACAAAGTTTAAAAAGTCTGACAATAGAAAAGAAAAGGGATAGAAAAAAATTATTTTATTGGAAAAAAAAAAAGAAAAAAAGAAAAAAAAGAAAAAAAGAAAGAAAAAGAAAAACTCAATTCCGCTATCTATAAGATTTCGCAGTAAACAACGTCAAAGATATATTTCCTTTACTCCCGTGGAAATCTTTCGGGACATATCTCCTCCGTATATACATACATACATACATACATACATACATATATATATATATATATATACTATATATATATAGTAATGTCGATTTGTAAGAAAATCGAAAGGGGAGAAGCACTTTCTCGAAACTGAATTCTTTACGTGGCTTTTCTTTTGAGAAAAGGACACTGGAATCGTTTTCTTCTTTTAAGAAAAAAATATAAGAAAGATTTCTTCGTAAGGTTTCAAAAAGAAATATATATATATATAAATATATATATAATATATATATTTATTATATATATATAAATATAAATATATATATATATTTCTTTTTGAAACCTTATTAAGGTAGATCCAAATATATATGTATATATATATATGTGTATATATATATATCTACCTTCAGAAAAATTCAATAAATTGTTTCTCTCTCCTTTCCTTTAAATATTACTAAAAACAAAATTTGACATGGTATGGAGAGACATAGACGATGATAAATTATATTTCGACGATTTTAATTTTACATATTGGATATGTCAGAAAAATTGACGAACAAAATTTTCTTCTTTAAAAGATAAAACCCTTCTCTCTCTGTCTCTCTCTCTCTCTCTCTTTCTCTCTCGCTGTTACGAAATCTTGCGACCTCTTTCGGGTCATTGAGCTTAACGCGAATCGCGTGTTTACATGCGAGCTTAGATCGATAAAGACGTGACTATATGTACGTGCGAGTATAGAATATACTAATACAACTCGACATATTGCACCTGCATCTAACACACAAATTCGATTCCTTCTTGGTATATCAAATATTTCTTGCGTGCTTTCGTCTCGGAAATTCGATGTCGATCGATGTTCCATCTTGGCGCAACTTTCCTCTATAACTTTACTCGTTAAAAGACAAAGATCGATGGCTGTGCCCTGATTGCAACGAAAGACCGAAAGCACGAGAGAAAGAAAGAAACCTAGAGAAAGAGGGAGAGAGAGAGGGAGGGAGGGAGGGAGGGAGGGAGGGAGAGAGAGAAAGAGAAAAAGAGAGAAGGAGAATTTCCGCTTAATCACGTCTCAACCTTTAAACGAAGTTTGCTAGATCGATTTAACCCTTTAACCGACATTTCTTTTATTTTTTTTTTTATTTTTTTCTTTTTTTTATTTTTTTTTTTTTTTCTTCACCAACGAACAAGAGAAAGGAAAGGTAGGGAGAAAAGAAAAAAAGAATTGTGATAATATAAAAAAATATCGAAACTCAACTACTACTATATATATATAAATAAATAGTTATACATTTTACTCATCTTACATATATAAGCCAGGATTAAAATGAACGACAAGTACTATGGTTTCATCTAACAAATTCATTCGACTATGAAAAATAGGAATCGTTAACGCGAACCATATATTTCTTACTTGTTTGATTAGACGATCGGCGACCTCTTGCTGAGTTAAAATCGGATAAGGAGTCGAACTTGGAAGTACCAACTTCTCGAGCACGTTAACGGAATTAATATCCCGAGT